ATCATCTATGCATTAGTTTAATACATTTTTAAATTTTTAAGAAATAATTTTTTTTGTGTTTTCGCTCCAAATATAACACGACCCCTTTCTCTAATAATTCATTTCTTTGTTTTTCACCTGTTACTATCCATTTTATTATTTTTGTTTTTTCTACTTAATTTTTTTTTGAAATATATTTTTAACGTATTACGTATGGAAGAAATTAATAAAGATTTGAATTTTGTTAAGTTGAAAGATTATAAAACACTTTTTTAATTGAAAGTTTCTAAAGAATCTTTAACACTATCCGTGATGGCCTATTTTTATTTTCTCAGTGATGGGGGGGGGGCTTTGTGGCCCCTCCTTTTTTTTAATATCTAATATTTTTACATGCTGCTAGTGAGAAAACCTGTTGTTAAAATATTTGAATCCCACCACTGGCCTAGACTATTTTGCCCTCTTGTGGTAATAAGCTAAATCAGGGCCGGATTAAGGGTATACGAGGCCTGGAGATGAAGACTTCTAGTGGGCCTACTCACACGTGCTTATAATACAAGCAAATAAAGTGGCTATTCAAGCTTTAGATCCACCAAGCTATCATCAAATTAATATTATTTCAGGCAATAATTATTAATGACAGCTAACCTGATACGTTTTTCCAGAAGGCGAATTTGAAATCAATTTCAACTTTTCCTCAGTCAGAAGTGTATATAGAATTTTTTGAAGAGTGGGTTTCAGCCTTTAAAAGGGGCACACATATAAGAACAATAATATATTTGCGATTTAACAATATCAAACGGATGCAGGAGTGTTTCAAAGGAAATTCGCTGTGTTACGACAGCGAAAGTCGTGCGACGTTGGGAGCATGCGCTGGAGTTCTAGAAAGATCGAGGAACCTTTCAAACGTCCTAACGTTTGCTAGATACACCCTCTATTTTGTATATTTAAGACCGGCGAGAAGTGACGGCATAGATAGATAGATATAGATAATTGCAGACAGACAGAGACAGACAATTGAGTCAAGCACGGTAGTAAGTAAAGTGCGTGAATCTTTCATTGTGAATTATAGCGTTTGTTTAAGTTAAAGTGACTGTGAAAAGTAAGTGTATTGCAAAGTTGAATTGAAAAAGAATAAACTAGTTTTATTTAAGAAAAAGCTTGTACTGCTGAAGTTTCTCGGAAAGAATTTCTACGAAAAATTAACAAACGAACACAGACGTAACAGCTGGTTCAATCAAAAACAAGGATGAAAATATAGGTTTTCATAATACACTTGTTTTAAATTTCCGTTTATTATCCTACTAAATGCTTTAATTTTTTAGGGTTGTGCTTGGTGACTCTTAGGTATAAGTAACATAAATTTTATGTATTAGGGCAATTTGATGTGTGCATAAGGATAATTTCAAAACAATGTTCATTGGTATTTTGATATCAAAACACACGGTAGTGGCTCGGCTTGGCCAGGTGGTTAGGGCGCTTGACTCGCAATCTGCCGTGGGGGCATTATTATGTGACGGTCAATCCCACTATTCGTTGGTAAAAAAAAAGTGTAGCCCGAGAGTTTACAATGAGTGGTGATGCCTCATCTATTTTCTTTCACTGCGAAATTAGGGACGGCTAGTGCGGATATCCCTCGTGTAGCTTTGCACAAAATTCAAACCAAAAACAGCTCCAGGATGCACTTTGTGTTATTAACAGTTTAGTGATTTTCCACTTTCTGTAGCTTAGACTGTGGTAATCCAAACTAGTAATCCAAAAGTTTTCTGGAATATTATATAAACAACTCATGGCTAAAAGGAAAAAATAACCTATAAATAGTATACTAGATAAAAATAGAACAGAACAAACAGAGATAAAAAAAATCCGAAAAATGTAACTAACAAGATAACATAACACATAAAGAGACTTGATGCAGTATCAAGTAACACACTCTCAGGACAAATAACAACACAAGAATGCTGGGAAGGAATAGGTACAATGAAAAATAATAAGTCACCAGGTCCTGGCGGACTTTTTTTTTTGAAGTTAATTATAATTAATACATATTAAGTTAATTACAGAATATGAGCCAATTATTCGAAGTAAATTAGAATATAATGCATCTACTTTTAAGGATGATATATTAAAATTAAACAATTATAATAATTATTACTTACTTGTACAACATGGCATATAAGAATGAATTAGGTACATAAAAAACGATATAATTATTGTACAACATTACAGTTTTCATGACAGAAGTATTGAAGATTGATTGTTTTAAAAGTGTTGGTTGTGACAAATTTCGTCACGTAACTCTGTACGAGTTGTACGTTGTGTTTGCAATTACATTGTTGTCTAGGTTTAGCATGACTGAAATGCTCAACAATTAATTTTCGTGGTGGGCGGTATAAGTAGCTCAGAGCTTTGGCTCTGAGTGAAGCCAAGAATGCAACATAATTAACTTTTTTTTAAAGTCCATGAAATAATTTAAATTGATAGGTTAACTTAAACTTTTCCCGTCACTGGGGACGGGTACTTTTGCTTGTATGTTATACTTTGTCAACCACTTTACCTTTATGATATCTAGTTCGGTTGAAGCCTTTTGCTTAATACCAGGGCTCACAGACCCGCTGGGATACGAAAAACATAGTAGCAGTCTAGGCGTTTTTGTCATGGACCATGGTAGTGGTTCATAATAGGGATCGCCCATTTGTTCTTCTATTTAATATTATTACTATTGTTCCGCCAGCCTACAGCAAAAACGGGCGTGAGTATTACAGTCAAACCTAGGCAATATTACTAAACGGATAATTGTGCATTGCATAAGGTACGTTTTAAGTTATGTCTATATCTTTTGTAAGCTAAAAAATCATAATTCTAGTGTAAATTATATTATCATTAACCCTTAAAGTTAGTTTTCTTACAAATGTATAGTTTAAAAATCTCAATTACAGGGTGAAACAGGAATTACCAGCCAATAACAGATGAACGTTAGTTGACTGTAACATGTAGATGCTCGATGCTTTGTACACTATACAATCTGTGTCTTTAGGAAGCCAATCACTATATTAGGATTGAAGTGAAGGAGTAAAAAAATAATAATAAAAATACAATACACATAATATTATATATTATTACACACATTCGTAGAATAATTATTTTAAAAAACACAAAGGATTATTTAAAGAGATGTTTTAGCCGCATATGTTTTATTTGAAAAGGCTGCTTTTCTAGTGGTAAAATTTTATATGCGATTAGTGGGGGGGGGGGGGTTGGTGTCATAGTCTCGGCATATTGTTATGCTTTAATAGAGAGAGAGAATTTAGTTACACAGATACTATAAATGCTCACTATATTCTCAAACAAATCTCTGTGACAACTTAAACTTTAACATCTCGAATTATTGCGATTAAATAGTCAATAGCTAAAGTAAATCATCATGAACCGTATCAGCTAGTCTTCCACAACAGATATCTTTAAATCTTGTATACTTACCTTGTTTACTATCCTTATCTGTTAGGTTTTTAAATTCCCAATGTTTTATTTATATTGTGTCTCAAACCTTAAGCTTGGTTGTTTACCTTTTTTGTGACTGCATTTTAACTTTAAACTAGCTATCTTGTTTCTGCTTTGTTTTTTTATGATCGATATTCCCCTTTTTAGATTAGCAATTTTAATAATCTTATATCATTAACTTTCATGGACAATCACTGTTTTGTTGTGAACTAGATTAAATAAGTGAATTGTAATTATTTTCAGCAAATAATTCAAAAGAATCTACCGAACGAAAGAACACCTTACAACAGTATATTTTCTAATAGAAATAGTTCCCCAGTGGTACAGCGGTAAGTCTATAGGCTTATAATGCTAAAAACCTGGTTTCGATACCTGTGGTGGGCAAAGCAGAGACAGCTCTAATTTACGCTTAACAAGAAACAAACAAACCGATAAAAATAACGTTTTTTAAGTTGGCCTCAATGGAACACGGATTACAAAAACAAAGTTGTACACCACTTATACATAATTAATATTAGTTTTATGGCATATGTCATTTTATTCTAGTTAGTATAAATTACTTCCCCAAGAACAATAAAATAGGTAAATTTCAAAGACAATTTTTTTCATATTTTCCCCTTTCATTTAAACATTTGGTGTTTCTTCGATGTATTTTTACAAATCTACTGTAAACAGGAAAATATAGCACTACAAAATATAGTTCTTTGGGTAAAACACTGTTTTATCTAAATATTATCGTTAAATACTATAAAAAGTACCACTTATGACACTGGAATCTAATTTTATCTGAAAAAATGAAAATATATAGTGTTATTAAAATTTAATACACATGTTAAGTACGATAGCTGTGTATGTGGAAAACAGTTTGACCGGTTTAGTTCCCGCTTTAGGTTATTCAGACGAAGGAAACGAGGGTGTAAACGAGGTATAAGTTTGTTTTAAAGATTAGAGAGATCGTAAGGTAAGCTAATTTATTTTTGTAAAAGAAGTTTTAATCATAATGTTATCTTTTAAAGCTTAATAATAGTAAGGAATTTATAACTTTCTCTCCCAATGTTAATTCGTGTTAAGTTATTAATGCTCAATCATCACTTAGTCTTAGGCCTCGTTTAACTTTCTTTTTTTTTGCTGTTATAAAAATGGCGCTGATGTTGTAATAGTAATCAAGTGATACTTGAGTAAGGACGCACATTATGTTAATATAATAATAAGGTAGGCAAACAACGATTTATAAACATAAGGAAGAGTTTTATTGGTGGTGAAACGTATTATTGTTTCGACAGAACATTAGTTGTCTTTTATAGGTATATGTCAATGTCGGTACTAACCAGTACAACTTGCAAGGTTTATGATTATATATATTTTCGAAGACGAAAGACACATGGATTAGAATTTAAATATAATGGAAATGGAGTCAGTAGGTGACACTGATACTGCAACAGGATATAGATACAGGTTAAATCTGGTCAAGTTTATGAACGGTAAATAGACTTTGCTAAATTTGGCTAGGGCCATTATCACAGTTTAGTGAGAGATCATTTGCTTTGATGATTTCTGTATTTTCTAAACAGTCTCTTTCTCTTTTAGTTTTGGGTTGATGTAAGAGAAGAATTTTTCCCAAAATATTTTGTGGCCTGTTTCATATTGATGATATGTTACGGCAAATATCTGGAATTCACCTCTACACTTGTGACCTTGGTGTTCTTTGTGTCGTATTTCTAAGGAATGTGATGTTTTCCTATGTATTTCTTTCCATGTTAACATGGGATACTGTCTGTGCTCTGTTTTTGTTCTTTTATAGGGATTCTTTTGGGTTAGGTAGTAAGGTGTTAGTTTTCTGTGGCAGTTTGAATACCATTTTTACATAAATTCTCAAATTATTAAAAAGGCTAGTAATTTCATCAGCAATTTCTGCCACAAAAGGGAAGTATGCAAATTTGCTATGTTTTTTTATGTTTATAGGTGAAAGGTTGGAGTTAACATAATATTTTTCACTATTTTGAAGCTTGATATGAGCCCTATCTATGATGTTGCCTCTAGATCAGGCAGGTGCAATGTATGGTTCACGGGTACCTCCAGCCCATGAGGTGGTTTTATCTGGCCCTCGATGAGTTCTTAAATTTTATTATATTGTATTTTAAAAACTCATCATGGGCTGTATGTTGCACATGCTTGCTCTAGATAGTGCTATGTTCTTTAAGTAATTCAACTCAATAAGTAAGTCTTTGTGGGTGCAAAGTAGGTGAAATAGGAGGATATTTTCTATGGTAGCTGGTGATTAGATCTTATGTATGGTGGCATGGTGAAGGAATGGGGTTTCCTGTATATATTTACAAAAGTATTGTTATGTAGAATTATCTAATAAAAATAAATTGTTTGTATTTATATATATATATATATGCTTTATTGTTTTAATTGCATTTCCTTACGTAATGAAAATAAGAATTACTTCTGAAAATTTTATTTTTTTGTTCATTTATGCCATGGAGCTGCTGTAATGGTTGATGTATAAGACTGTGTATTGCAAAAAGCACGAGAGCCTGGTATAATAATGCTTTTAATTATGCTAGGCAATCTGCTGATTATAATGTATAGGAATTACAGAAAAAGAAATATTTTACTAAACCAATCCTTAGTATATAACTGAGATATCAAAATATTTTTATAATAATTACTCTCAAAGTAATATGACATCAAAATGCCAGGATATTTCTTTTAAGTAATATTTGACCATTATTATAAAAATACATTAACAAATTTACTGAAAATAAAGAAACTAATTGAGCTGTAGGTGGAGCTGTATGCAGAACGAGAAGTAACTTGTATATCTATTAATCTTTGCACATGTAGGTTGGATTCGTGCCACCATGCAAAGAATACTCACAGTTGAAATACTGAAACAAAGCTGTAAACATCATCCTTATATATTATAATTGGTTACTGAACATATAGTATTTTAAAGTAGTTCAGATTAGAAAGAAGCATCGGGCTATCTATTTATGACTTCATAGCATATACATGTTTTGAGCAGATTTTAAGATTATGGCTATAGGGAGAGCTTAAGCCCTACTCTTCACTGTCTCTAATTTTTAACTAACAACAAAGTAGAAAGCAGCTGACTAGCAGCACCCTCTACCAGTTTTTAGTCTACCATTTGTATTTGCCCTTTCAGCCATAAGGGCATTATAATATCACTATCAATTCCACTATTAATGTGTAAAAGATTAGCCCAAGAGTTGGCCATGGTTACTGCCAGCTACTTGCGTTTTCTCTCAGCAGTTCAAAATTAGGAACATTAGCAGATGTCCTTTGTAGTTGTTCCATTACTCTAACATAAACAAATGTCCCACAGTTTATAGGGCATGTTTAGTAGCAATGAGAATTGAAGCTAAGACTCTTGAATAAGGATTTTGAACCCCTCAACCCCTAATATGACCTTAATAATAACTAGTGTAGGGTTGGCTAGTATTTTTGTAAGCCAAGAATTTTTATACCTGTATGGCTGGCCCATTTAGCGACCATATAGGACGGGCATATTTGGCGATGAGGATTCAAACTCTTGACCTTCAGGTTGTGAATCAAGAGCCCTAACTACCAATGGTAGTTTATTAACATTATATAATGTCAACATAGAACTAAATTGGAAGTTTGTAAACTATACACAATTAATTGTAATCTGAAATTATCTTTAAATACAAGAATCATTCAAAAAGTAGTCATCATAAAAAGAAAAAAGGCTAAATTAATTTGTGCAAATTTTCCCAATTGAGTTTTTAAAATGTTCATTCAAAATTGGGGAATGAAGTCCTGTTGCCTAAGTCTTAAGTTACTATGAATCACTGACACGTAACAACCTTAAGAATGTGTTTCTATTACAGTCAATTCAAGTTCTATTAGTTTTATCAAACTAATAGTATTTTAAGGTTGTTATTTATTTTCAGAAATAAAATGGAAAGAAGGGAAAGAGGTACAAGAGTTTTTGTTGGGGGCCTTACTGAAGATATTCAGAAGGAAGACCTAGAAGAAGCATTTAGTAAGGTTGGGAAAATAGTAAGTGTATGGGTAGCAAGAAATCCTCCAGGTTTTGGATTTGTTGAGTTTGATGATCGTGAAGATGCAGATGAAGCGGTAAATTCCATGAATGGTCAGCTTATCAATGAAACAAGAATCAGAGTAGACAGGGCAAGAGAACGACGGGGTAGAGGAGGTTTTCAAGGAGGGCGAAATTTTCGTGAAGGATATGATAGGAGGGGATCATCTTATGACTCGTACAGGGGAGACAGTGGCTTTGGTCGAAGAGGTGGATACAGGTCTAATGATGGAGGAAGTTACAGTTACCGCAGCAGATCTCCAATGGGCAACAGATATTAATTTTTTTACAAGTGAGCAATTAAAATTAGTCATTTATTTTATTTATCATAACTTGATAAGTGTTATAAAACTTGCATTTGTGTCTTTGTTTAGTCATTTTTATTGAGTGTATATATATATATATATATATAAGAAATCAAAGAAGTTAATGTATTTATAAAACTTGCATTTGTGTCTTTGTTCAGTCATTTTTATTAAGTGTGTATATATGTACCAGAAATCAAAGAAGTTAATCTATTTCTCATGATTTCATTTATTACTTCTGTGTAATACATACTTCACTTGAATAATATATTCATTTTTAGCATGGCTGGGAGTGGGAATCAGAATATATTTAAAAAATTTAACATAGCTATCTATTGATCTATAAAGAAACTTTCACTCTTTTAAATTTTATCCATAGTGTATTGCACCATTGGGTATCTTCATGGGGCAGTGTTAAACAAGAAGCTGTATTAACAGTAACTTCTTTCTCTTTGAAATAAATGTTAAAACATTTGGATGCTGTGTTTAGGGTACCACTAAAATACTATTACATGAAATAAGTAGTAGGAAAATAATAGCTTTAGGTAACAAAATGCTACCAGATATATATTGACTTTTAACCCTGATATATGGTGTCTAAATTGGCTGTTACTTGCATATAACCAAGGATTCTTAAGTGTTTTGTGGCTTTTTAATATTGATAATATGTTAAGTCATATATCTGGAATTCACCTCTATGCATGTTACCTTGGTGTTCTTTGTGTCTTAATCCTAAGGAATGTGATGTCTGTCCTTTGTATTTTTTTCCACATTGACGTGGGATATCGTTTTTAATAGGAATTCTTTAAGATGTTATTTTTATTAACCTCCAACTAATGTTGTCTGATAGTACAATTGCTTGCTCTTATGCATGTAGGGAGAGAAAAACATGATACATGATTAATCATGGTCTTACTCTGTATCTCTGTCTTCTTCTTTTGGACAAAATACATACAAAATCACAGTTAAGTCCTAATATGTGAATCTTTAGAGAAGAAATTGCAGCTAAAGCAAATGGATTTGCACATCTAATTCCTGGACAACTCGCAAACAATGTGGCTACCCATTATGTGGATTTCACTTTCATGGGTCATGGCACAGCAGCAGATTGTCTCTCCCACTTTAATGTGTTAACGAAATTTTAAATTGGAAAAACCTGCTCCAAATACTGATAAGTCAACCACATGTTCTATCAAGGTTTCACATTAGTGCCTTGTCTGAAGTTACAGATAAAGGGCTTGTGGACATTGCATCATCTACTTTCCACAATATACACAGTGCCTACCGAGCTGCATTTAGCATCACCAGTTGGAATCTAGAAAGCACATTACAGGCATTCTTCAGTCTTTTTTGTGATGTCCATAACAGGCACAGCTGTGTTCCCACTGAAGTTTTATGCCCATCCATGGGTAGTGAACATTCCTGTGGCAGCAAGAGCCTTGAATGTTCTGCTTCATTTTATCACTTTTGTGAAAAAAGTTTAAAGTGACAAGAGTTTCACCACCCGAAGGTGCAAAACATTTGCCTTAGTCAAAGAAGCCTTTGATGATCTGTTCTTTCCTGCTAAGTTGAATTTTTTCATCTTTGTGACAAACCATGCCTAGCTGTTTGGAAAAGTACCAAAAGGATGACTCAATGATACCATTCATGTCATCTAACTGGGAAAACATGATAAAGGAAGTGAAGAATAGAATTCTTGAACTTGAAGTTATAGAACCACTTTCTGAAAGTATGAAATAAAATATGAAAGTTTACTCAGTTTTTCCAAAATGGATGTTGACATTTCAGCAGACAGACTTGTGAAATGTCTATCATTTTCCTAGAAAGTAATTTTAGAATTTCAAATGGAATCAAGGAAGTGCATTGTTTATCTGCTGGAGAAGTTATTGGACAAGACTCCTATTAAAATCAGTTTTGGGTGGCATGTTTCTTGCCTCATTCCTCCTAAAATGGCAAAGAATCCAGAAGAGTATGAAAAGAAATTAATAGGCATGCAGTCACACTTTGTTGGGTTAAAGTGTTGTCCTGAACAAAAGTGTAATGATGTGCAAAGGCAAATTGGGCAGTTTTTTGCAAAATGAAGTCACCAACCAGCATAGCCATTCCTTAACAATGAAAGTAGTCATCCCAGTGGGAAAGTAGCACTTGATGCCATCTTTGCTGAACAGCTGGAAGGAAAGTATTTAGAACTGTGGTCCATTATCACACTGAAGCTGATACTTTCACAGGACAGGCTACTGTTGAAAAGAGGTTTTTCTGTAAATTCAAATCTCACTGTGGTTAATAAGAAGATCACATACATCTCTCAGAGGCTAATCCAGGATGTAGTCACAAAGGCTGGGAGAATAGGAAACGTGTAGATTACTCCAAACATGATTCTGTATTGCAAATCTTATAGGCAAAAATATGAACAATACTTAATCACCTAATGAGAATTCCAAAACTAAGGAAATAAAAAAAACAAATGAGCAAGAAATCATGGAGCTGAATGAGTAAGATGTTGAGCATCTACAGAGGGAAACAGAAAAATTTACAAAACCATGAGAATGGATTCTTAAATTTAACTGTTTCACAAAGTCTGAGTTAGAACGTGATGAGCAAGATAATTAAAAACTATTACATAATACTAAATGTTATGAAGTGTTATTTTTATGGCTTTTGGTAGGCGGAAATAGAATATATTTAATTAAATTTAATTTTCTTGAAAACCACATTTTGGTTCTTGGAGAAGTTCATAAAAGTCCTTGAATTTTATTTACCATATTCTGGTTGTCACCACAATAAAACTAATGTTATCTGATTAGATTCTGAGTTTCTTAGTACATATTCCGTATTGGGCTTTAATCTTTGTAAGGAAAGGCTATGATAATTAAAATGTTTATATCACAGAATATATTAACAATATCTTATCTTAGTTTGACGTACTTAGGTTATATTAAGACTGTATGGTTATCATTGATTCATCCAAAATACTATATTATGATGGGAATTTCTTTTTTTTATGTAAAAAATACTGAAAATTTGGTTACATTTTTGCACAATTAACTTTATTTTTTTTACAAAGTTGATGCTTATATTACCATCATTGAAAAAATAAAACATTACATTATCTTGTAAGAAGTTAGTGTTGCTAATATAATAGTACTATATTATCTGAATAGACTTTCTAATTTTATTCTTATTAATTCTATATTGGTTTTCAAATATTGTAAGATAGGGTATGGTTATTAAAAGCTGTATTTTATAAAATTAAGTGGTGTTATTCTAATTTTTGGACTTTAAGTTTAGGCCACTTGAATAATATCCAAAATAAAGGTTTTTCCTTTGTCTAATAATTATTATCCTAAGTTATAATTATATGTTTGCCTTTATTGATTACAAAGGGTTTGAGTAACTGTGTATGTAGATTCAATGCTTAAGGCTCCAACACTGTCATAAATATGCATATGAACATGTAAAACAATACTAAAATGTCTGTAGAAGTATATTATACAATGATGTTGAAACAGGTGACCGAAGTGAATAAATCTTGCACTGTTTCTAAATCTTAAGTAATACAGGAGCTTAGATGATATCCAGAGGGATATCCGGTATTCCAAAAACTACTACACATATATATGTAGTGTTTGGGTGTTAAACATTATGTACTGTAAAGTGGCACAGTACTCTCCGTGTCAACTTAATCTGAAATGGACTAGTTAACTTCAGTATGGTTAGAGGTAGTTTAGAGATATATGTGGAAATTATAGGATATAGCTGTTTGCAGGATTAGTTTATCATTAGTAGTTGTGGAAAGCGTACACTACACTAACTTGGGGATAACTAAGAAACAGATTTGGGGGAATACTGTGATGTTAGAAAATGACTTTTTATACTGAAATTATATGCTCCTAATGGTTAGCTTCATGAGGCTATTGTTTTGAGTATCATTACAATATTTAGGGTTGGGGATTGAAGTTATTTTTCTCAATGGGCAAGTTGTGTGTGTGCGGGAGAGAAATATGGCTTTGTTGTGAACTGTTAGAGAAGTTTAAATGTGTTCATAGTGTTTAAGGTTCTATTGAAGCTTACCAGTTGGTAAATAAATAACATGAAAGCTAAGTAATACATTCAATTTCAGATCCCCAAACAGAAATAGAAATATACATGGTAATTTGCTCAAAGTTACACATACTCTGAGGGAGGGAGCAGGGTGAACTGATTAACTATTTTGATACAGTATGTAAAAAAAAGTAGGTGTTACAGTTATAAATTCAGATTTATAGAAAGCATGTGTTTAAACAATGTGATTTTTAAAAGGCTAATGCTACCTCCAATATATTTATATTCGTAACATACCATGATAGAAGATATATTTTTATTCATTTTTTTATATTTATGCTTGCATAGTACAGATTTGAAATAGATCGTGCTATTAGAAAATTTCACTGTTCATACCACAATTATTTGCTTTTCATATTTAGCATTTTGAGGCTAATGTTTTGAGTGTCATTACAATATGTGAGTGGGCAAAAAATTGAAGTTATCCCTTCAATGAGAAAGTTACATATATATGGAGTACGGCTCAGTTTTGTGAACTGATAAACAAGGTTATATATATTCATAGTGTTAAACATTTTATTGAAGCTTATCAGTTGGGAAATGATTAACATGAAAGTTAATTAATACTTTCAAGTTCAGATCCCCAAATAGAAAGATATTATACATAATAATTTGTTCAAAATTATACCTACACTGGGAGCTAGATAATTTCTCAGGTTTTAGCAACAAAAAAAAACAATTACTGCAAAACCTGGGAAATGTTGTCTTAGTAATTACTTTTACATTTTCAGTGTAGGTTGGTTTCCAAGGAACTACATCAAAGTCCATTTTCATGTTTAGCTGTAGGATGGTTGTATAAAATCCTTCCATAATTTAATTAATGACTTTTTTTTTATTTTCCAGATTCTTCCATGATTTTCCATTATTCAGTGATTCTTCCATTATTTTACTGATTCATGTTATATCATTTTCCAGAATCTTCAAAGACTAAATTTCCTGACTGATGTCTTTGCGGGTTATTTATTGAGTTCCACTTTTAATATCACTATCAAACAATTTGTTATGTTTCTAAGCACTTTTAAGTTTAATTGATGATGAAGTTTCTTACAAAAAAGGTAAGTTGAATCCTGCACTTTGTTACTATGAATGGAACTGCAAGTTAGCAGTGAATGTAAGGAATTGCTCATTTTTTATGATGGTTAAAGTGGAAGAAGTTTATCACTATTCAAATGGAATCTTGTTTCTGAAGAATGTGGTGCACTTGTTAGGTGTTGCACCCATCAAGTTTTTATTGCACTATATTTGCCATACTTGAAAATTATCAAAAACACATATGATCTACCATATTAAATACTTTTTTCATCTTAAAACTGATATCCAATAAATGTGCTTCTGTGGCATACAATTTACATAACATAGATTTCTGAAGGAATATATAGGTTTGTATTGGCATAGCTGTTAACTGAATCATGGTTCAGTGTTTAATACTCATTGGCTGATTTTCAAGTATGTATGCTCCATGACAGGTTGCCCAAAAACATCTACTGTTTACAGATGGCAGACATTACCTTGAGAACATTGTCTTAATCAACCGAAATATTATCACTAGAAGCCATTTTTTACCATCTGATTTTCGTTTTGTGTTGATGAGTTTCACTGCATTTCATGTTTGGATTTCCATGCAAATGGAGAACCATAGTGACTTTGCTTCAGTAATCCAATGCAATTACTCCTTTCTTCAAACAGTGCCTACTGAATAGAAGTTCTGCACGAAGCAATTGAGAAGTATGATCATCACGTCTGTGAATGTCCTTGTTATTTTGCAGGGACTATATATTTCTGCGACCAACCGAAGTATAGTCTCTCACTACCCATTTATGATTTTTTATTGTCATTTTAATTCTGTTCTGTACTCGCTTTCAGTTATTTTACTAAAAGTTTCTTTGAAATTCACGGAGCTACTATTAAAATAATATTCTAAAATGTTTGTAATAGTTACAGCAAGTACGAAGCTTGCAAATGTTTTTTTAATGTTCATATTCAGTGAAAGCATATTAGCATAACTTCATCTTTACTTGCATCACTTCTAGAGCATGTTTTTTGTGGGGCTAGTATGAAAAGCAATTCAGTTTGTACTGGTCATTCAGAGAAGACTGGATAGAAGTCGTGCATGTAGACTGAAGGTGGTATTTTTGATGTACATGTATTAAAATGTTGGCTTTGATATGAGTTAATAATAAAATTCAAATTCTGTCCACTAAGTCTGAATAGTGTCATTAATTGTTGTTAAATAGTTTTACTGAGCAATAAACATTTTCCTCAAACTGTAATTTTATGAATGATAATGAGTAGCAATAAATGTTTTTCTACTATTAAAATTGTTCTTTTTTTTGCTTACAGACAATTGCTAGAAAAATTTCGTATTTACCTTTGTTAGAAAATTGTGAAAAATGGAAAGCAGGTGGCAGATATGTATAGTTCCATCAATTGAAATAGTAATTCTGTTAATGAAGTTTGTAGCCAAGTTAAAAATGAAAACATTTTCGTTATTTGTGTTAGTAAACATATGGGAATGGTATTAATCTTTTACCAATAAAATTGTAAAATCCAAATATGCACATGCGTTACAAAAATTTGTTTTTAATAATTGTAGCCATTATTATTTTGTAAATGTTATTAATGAACAAGTGTCTGTAGCTTATTTGCCATCACAGCGACCATTAAGGATCTGTTACTTCAAAAATATTCTGAAATAAGAATCTAAAAAAAAATATATATATATGAAACTAAAATTCAAGAAATTTTCCTTAAAATAAGTGAAATTTAAAACAAACCCATAGTTTTTTAAACATTAAGTCAGATGCCTTTTAAAGTTGAGGAGTAAGAGTTAAGTCTTTACTCATTTTTGAATCTTCACAGTAAACAGACGAGCGTGTTACTAGTCAGTTTTGTCTGTTTCATATAAAGTAGGGATATACGTAAAGCATAGTTTTGTATCATTGTTAAGTTAAAACTTGTAGTTTTTAAATTTTAGATTGAGTAATGAATTTGTACCCAAAATTTAAAATGTAGACAGTAGTTTAATTAGAGAAAAAAACAACGTTTACTACTGTGGGAGTAATCGTTTGAACGAAAGCTGGGACTATTTGATGGTAAGTCGTTACTGAATTATAAAATATGAATTTTACTGTGAGAAATGTTGTTATTGCTGATTACAAGTTTGAATTTGGGAAGCTTTTACTAACTTACTTACGTGCCGAATATGTCGATTATTAAAAGTGAACTAATGTGCATGAAAGAAGCGAACAAGACTTTTGTGGGTTGTTAACATCACTTAAAAATAGATACACATTGCACGTGGGACCCCACATTGCTAATTAAGTATAAGGTCAATGTACTGTTCAATTGTACATATGTTCTTTATGAGAACAACGTAGGATTTTGTACACGTGTATGTAATATTTGTCTCTTCGGATGTTTGCCTGTCGTTAGAAAATCAAACAATTATATACATGTTATACAGGTGTACTGTTGAACAATTATAGTGATATTTTTTATCGTTTATGACGTTTCCTCGACATAGTGTTTCATTTGTGTGTATACAATACAGTAACAATGATAGTAGGAGGGGTTGCTCTGCATTTAATAGGGTGCGAATTTGCGTCTTTTTTTTCTGTGACTTTATTCCCTTTTCACTACGAGCGTGATTACGAAAATTTACATCTGCCATAGTTTGTAACTTTGTGAAATTCAGTTAAGTGCCATCTTCGAGGAAGACATTTAATAGATTACTTGCTCAATAACCTCAAAGTGATTTTATACTTTAAAATGTATTTTAGTAGCAATGATTAAGGAAAAGTAATAAGAAGGTACAGTTTTATTCACCCATGACTGAAATACGTCATGGGCGCGATAAATTACTGTCACTTAAACTTTTTCCATGCATAGAAACTTAGCGTGAATGAATTTGCTTTCTTAATTTGAAGACATCCTGTTAGTAGTGAATCAAGCATAATTTTAATAGGAAAAATGTAACTTCCAGTCACTAACAATTCTGCTCTAATACTAACTTCTCTTGTCAAATGGATACTTAAATATATTAAGATGATTTTAACCGTTTCCAGTGATCGACCGTCACGATACTAAACGAAAGTAGATTCTTGAGCTGAGCAGCTGAACCAATCAGATAATCAGTGGGAGCATTTCATTTACAATCATTGTTGGATTTTTCAGTATGATCGTGTTAAGCCCAATGTTGATATTGACAGTAATTTATAGTGGGTGGAAATGATGACAATGACTGTTTCTACTTTTTCATTTGAATAGTATTCCTTATATATATATATATAAAGACTATAATTATACAAACCATAAAGTGAGTATGTTAAAGTATAGAAAAAATAAAATAAATGAATTGTAAACACATACATACATATATATAGTGTGGTGTGCAAACATAACGTGTTTTCTTCTTCCTTTTATTAATATAGGAAATTTTCAAAATTTGTTGTTTATGTGGTGTAGTTTTCATATCGTTGTTCTGTGTTATTCACCTCGAGTACCATGGTCCAGGTATATTTTCTTCTGGTAGTCGGATGACCTCTTGGCCTGACTCGTATTTCATTCATAATGACCAATCACATAAATGCTAGTCATTCTGTGTAGGCCCGGCATGGCAAGGTGGTTAGGGCACTCGACTCGCAATCTGAGGGTCGCGGGTTCGAATCCCCGTCCCACCAAACAGCCTTTCAGCCGTGGGGGCGTTACAATGTGACAGTCAATCCCACTATTCGTTGGTAAAAGAGTAGCCCAAGAGTTGGCGGTGGGTGGTGATGATGACTAGCTGCCTTCCCTCTAGTCTTACACTGCTAAATTAGGGACGGCTAGCGCAGACAGCCCTCGTGTAGCTTTGCGCGACATTCAAAACAAACACTGTGTAAGTCTGACATTAATAATTTTAGTAGCTAATATGAAATTTATTCGATCTCTACGGCCTGAAACAAAAAATCAAATTTGTTAACAATCTGATCCAGGGTATCTTCAGATCTAATTCTTCAGTAGTAGTTTCGTATGTTGTTTCTCACACCCCCAAATTCTTTTGGAGGTGAGTATCCGAGAGTAGGACAGACGTCCTAGTTCGGACACCGGGTGATCATGTTTTTGGTGTGACGGGATTCGAACCCGCGACCCTCAGATTGCGAGTCGAGTGCCCTAACCACCTGGCCATGCCGGGCACAACTCTTCGGTATAAATGACTGTCCATTGTGACACGTAAAGTATACATTTTTGATTTATTTTTCAATGAAGATTGTTCGTTTTAATTTCACATTTGTGTTCAGTCAATCTTTGTTTACTTGTCACAAATGCAGTTAATCAGATAATTATTTCGCAGTTGATATCTTGACGGATCTCACGTTATTAAACAGATCTGTCTTGTCACTCTCAGGAGAAATCAGTTTACCTGAAAATATCAAAATAGCGCGTACATGAAGTACCCTTTTCTAATGAATTTTTTCTATAATGAAAGAAATGCAGTATTTAAATTCACGCTACACATTCAATTTTGTGACAATGGACATCGCGTCGTAAATACTTTAACATAGAAAGATGACAGAAAATATAAAAACAAAGCCCTTTAACACGTTTGCTACCACCAGTACCTTAGTGCCAATCACACTTTTCTTTTCATACTTAACCCAGATGTCTAATATTTATATGGGTAAGTATACTATTTTAAATTTTTGTTTGTTTGAAGCTAAGTACGAAGCTACACGATAGGCTATCTGTGCTCAGCCCACCACGGGTATCGAAAACCGATTTCTAGCGTTGTAAGTCAGCAGACATACTGTTGGGCCACGGGAAAGGGAGGATATGTTTAATTAGCTCATTGAATCCACTTGTAATATGTGACCTAGAAGTGTGTCACGTGGTCCATAACTAAAATTCTGTAAGGCAAATGGCAGCGAATGTGTTAACACAGATAAAAAGATCACAGTACTCTTCAAAATGGGAAAAAAAAATTCTATAAAAATCACACTAGAGTTTAACTTAACAAAAGACGAATCAATACAAGATTAAAGGCCCAAAGTACATGATATACATAAAGGAACCCTTTAGCGTCAGTAACAGAATAATTTAAGAAGGAAAAACTAATTAGCGTATGTTAACCTGAAAGAATATAAAATGAATTTATATATATATAATAGACATTACATGTTAAAGATTAATCATTTATCACGCTTGTAAACAAAATAATACTTTTAAAATTCAGAATAAAATGTTTTAAAACAGTAATTAACCTCTTAGCAAAAATTACACACAAAACTTAAATAAAAAAACATTTGAAAAGTCTAACCCTTCATGAGGAACACGACGAAATGCAACACTTATACAAAAGTAAAATTTAAATTAATATGCAAAATATATATATACCAAGAATAAATTTCATCATCAAATTAAAGTACAAATATTTCCTTTCACCACTTCCGTAGACAAAGCACTTATAATGATTCAATCATCTCACAAACTGCAGCACCCTATTACTGTCCTCTAAAAGCTACCTTTGGAGACTGAAGCAACACGTCTACAGAATTCACATGCAATAATTACCCATAGAACGTATTCCCGTGACAATAAACAACTCCACTGTAAAACCGGATTCTACTCGTATACACTGACCCAGATTAGATAATCTTAACCTACACTTTTAACCGTTAATATTCATCGATTTTCCTGAGGGTCCTTCAAGTTTAATACTAAGAATGATGAAAATTATAATATTTCGTCACTTTCTGCCTCCCTCTGGTATAGCCAGGTGGTTAGGGCGCTCGTGTCGCGGGTTCGAATCCCCGTCACACCAAACATGCTCACCATTTCAGCCGTGGGAGCGTTATTATGTGAGGGTCAATCCCACGATTCGTGGTAAAAGAGTTGGCGGTAGGTGGTGATGACTAGCTGCTTTCCCTCTAGTCTTACACTGCTGAATTAGGGACGGCTAGCGCAGATAGCCCTCGTGTAGCTGCTTTTTACGCGTACCGGCAATAAAGATTATGTAGCATTTCTCAGGAAGCTTTCGTTACTCCAGTAAATCAAATTAGTGATTCTTGCAAGATATCTCGGACAGTTCACCTTGGTAAAATTCACTTATTAGATCAGAAAGCAAGGATCACAAAGCTCTTTCAATAGTGTTTTCGAACTTTTATCTATAATCATCAGTTTTCCAAACTGTTGATGCATTGCTTATTATATCTACTGGTACCAG